GACGTTAACAATAATCTGGGGGGTGGGGTGGGGGGGGGGGGGGGGGCTCTCGTGGCCTAGAGGTTAAGGTGTTGGCCTCTCATTCAATGGTCCCGGGTTCGAATCCGGGTAGCGACGGAAAACTTTTCTTCTCTAAAATTGTCTCCTTTCACCTCCTTTCCTGCTCTCTAGCAATATTCTGTTGCCTGCTTTCATTTCCACTTTCTGCCCCCACCCCCTCACCTCCTTTGCCCCCTCCTCTGGGCTCCTGACTCTTTCTGCAGCCTTTCTACTGCTACTCCTTGGCTCTTCCTTACTGCTGTCTTTCTGCCACACCCCTGATCTTTTGGTAGGAAAGATCTACACCTAGCCTTCTCGGACAAGGGCGAAAAATCTCGGAGGGCCCGTGTTCAAGTTGCGCACGTTAAAGATCCATTGGTGGTCTAAAATCGATAAGCGTAGGCTTCGGTCGCCACCCGGGCAAAATTCAAAATTTCCTACCAACTGAAAGTATTAGGTATGTCCCGCGCGATCATATGACCTTATGCAGTTGCGAGCGCCGTAAACACTTTACAAAAACAAACAACAATAATCTTGAGTTTCACAACATGCCAAACATGGTCGTGGGTCTAAAAAGTGGGCGTGCACAATTAGGTTAAAGCAAGTTGAGGATAGTCAAGGGCATGTAAATTAGATGTTTTCTTCATCCTACCTGTTTTGAGAAAATCTATTTGAAGAAGAAGCTTTCCTTTCGTTCTTTGGCTGGAGCAAAAGTGTCCATTATTATGTTGACGAAGTTGGGCATGCTGTCAATGATGTCCTTGTGGATTGACATAAACGTTCGTCAGTTCGATTTCTGGTATTTTGCATACTTCTCTTAATGTTGTCTCGAATTTGTAGTCTTTCAGAGTTGAATAAAGGCCCTGGATTATACATGTACGACACTGAGCAGATTTAAATATTTCATTGCAATGTGATACTAATAATTCTGTTTGTAATTGGATTTTAAGCAAAACAGTAATATTTCTGTAAACGATCCTAAAAGAACTGTTGGAAACGACTTTTGATACTCCTGGAATTTGGATGAATCGCAGATTGAGAGTGCATTGATTTTATTTTGCTTAGAGAAACTGTCACAATTTGAGTAACTATTATGTCACAGGCCTGCTTTTGCAGCAATTTCGTTGGACTTGTTGTGTTTCCGTCTCTTGGAAGCGTGTTTCTGTTGTCTGTCTTGTTGATGGAACACGTATACTGTTTCTCATTTCATCGACAGCTACTTTAAACGTGTCTAGAACTTGTTAGGCTGCTATGGGCGTTGTACTTCTGTGTTAGAGGATCCCATAAACAGCGTCAACGCGCGTGTATACTTTGTTGAAAAAGTGCAAAAAGAAGAGAAATGTTTCGCTCTTTAATACATTCAGGATACCATCGTGAATTGAATTATCGTCCCAGTGCTCACACTGGATTTCTTCAAGACAGAGCTGGATCTCTCCTTTCCAAATGAAAACTGTGCTAATTAGTCGAGTCTGTAAATTCCACCTTGTTTCAGACGGCCATGGAATATTCCGGTGACAAACGCAGATGCATTTTGTAGAGTGGGCAAAAAATGTCGAAGAGCCTGCATAGCGTTAGCGAAAAATACCTCAGTTCCCCGACAAATCCCCCTTTTCATGACCGCGAAGGGCGAGTTCGTGAGTTTCACAGGACAAAATACACTAGATAACCTTACACAATACGTGCCTGTTCTTTCTCACCAATTCGTTAACGTGAGACGTTGCAATGCGATGACCTACGACTAGTTGCGCTGCTATGTCTACTTGTCCGAAAGTATGATACTTAACGGCATTTTTTACGTGCGCTCTTGATGACTTTCGATTTTAATGCGTTGTTTCAATTGGACAAGATCAGTAAAACCTGTCTTAGACTACTTGTGGCGTCGGTGGCCTAGGGGTTAGGCTCTCGGACTCGCAACTGTAAGGTCGTGGGTTCGAATCCCGTCAGGGGCCCGACGTTGTGTCCTTGGGAAAGGCACTTTGCACAAATTTTCCTCACTTCACCCAGGTGGAAATGGGTACCCAGCTATAGACGGTGAAAGATCTTGTCAGTTTGATAGTGTTTGAGCGCGTGAAATCCGCAGCTTGCACTGTATGCTTCCGCGGAAGCTGAAAATGTTTCTGAGTGTTCTCAGAAGGTCTGCTGGGATAATAATAGTTGTAAAGCGCATAGAGCAAGCTCTTGAGCATGGATATGCGCTATATAAATGCAATTATTATTATTAAAGCGCCTAGAGCTGTGTTTACACGGGAGTGGGCGCTATAGAAATGATCTTCATTATTACTTGGGGTCCTCAGTTCCAAAAAGCAGACTGGAGAAACAGTAGGCCTAATCTAGGTCTACAAGGAGTATAATTTGTTGTGTAAGCCACTCCACTTTTTATTCATTGTATTATTTTGATATCTTTAGTTTGGTGAGGACTTAATGCATTCACTCTCTTTTTTTTACTTTGTTTGGTGAACTGCATTTATTTGCAATCAACTTCATTCATCCTGCATTGGAATGCACACTCGAGTAATAAAACGTTCACCACGACACCATTCCAACTTCTAACACAATTACCTAATTACGTCATGTTGACCTCGCTCAAGTTCAAGGTTACAGAGGTGGGGATAGAGATATAAATGGCAAGACAATGGACCAATCGCACATCGCTGGGAGCACTCCGGTGGATTGCTCCAAAGCTATCACAATACGGGCATTGAATTGTGCAGGCTATCGTGAACTAGTTTGAGATTGCGTTGTTTTTAGACTGCCTTTATGGGCTTTGTTCGGCTCGTGCACATCGAGATTGTGCCGCCTTATTAATATTTATGAACTAAGAAACTCGGTCAAAACGTCACCGTTGTTTGGGTCGTCCCATAGAGCATTTTCCGAGATAGATTACACCCCTGAACATACTATTTTTTACTTGGGTGAAGCAAAAGAACTTGGTATGGTATATTAGATGTTGTAGAGCTGTTGTAGATGTTGTAAGGAGCGAAAAGGCTGTGGCGAGGAACTTGTACGTAAAACTGATTGGATGATGGATGGTAAAGGTTCTTTTGTTGTCACTTTGAGGGTGTTGTGCGCTAAAATTTTTGTGCGGCAGTGCACGACCGTGCTCTATGGACCAGCTGCCCCTGATGCCAAGCTTTTTCCGAATGCAATTCTTCGAATGTCTCGATAATGACTACGCAAAAAATCTTACGATTTTGATAGATTATAGAACATTTGCTTTCGGACCTCATGGTCGTAGTAACTCAGAACAGCCAAAAATGTCCAATAGAACTTTGTATTTCTCGGGTAGTTATTTCGCTACTACAGAATTACACAGTATTATATGACATTTTTGCCTATTTTCAGCTACTACGCCCTTGGGGTAGGAAACCAATTATTATTATTGTATCTGCTCTATCAAAATCATAAGATCATTCGGAGTCATTATTAAGATATTCAAAGAATTACGTTTGAAAAAGCTCGGCATGACAATGGCAATGACAAGGAGAAATGTGTTTTGGTTGTTAACGATGGCAGTAGACGTTACAGAGGTTAGGTGAACTCATGCATACGCACAACAAGACAGGACAGAGGTAAATACATGTCTCACGTGCTGGGACAACCCGCTCCGTAAAACATTCTCTCTCTCTCTCTCTCTCTCTCTCTCTCTCTCTCTCTCTT